GGAGAAGTGTACTGACGACAACTTTCTTTACGCCATCTTGATAATAAGAAGAGTGATATAGATACCTGACAGTATGCGTCTTCCTGTGAAACATCGTGGTCAAATATCCCTTCTGTTGGTGTCTTACTGACACATCCAAGAAGGGTAGAGTGCCGTTTTCTTCCTTCTCCATAGAGAAAACGATGAAGCTCGGGGACAGGCAGTTTATATATATATATATGTCATCAAAAAACCTTTTGAAAAAGATTGGAGAGGCATCCCTGTCACCCGTAGTGAAGGCCAAGTGTTCTAAATGTTCCATAAACAAATCAGCCAGAGTAAGGGACAGATGTGATCACACAGGGATTCCTTGGTAGTGACGATATAATTGACAACTGAACTGAAAGTAATTGAAACCAATGAGACATACCCTGAACAGCTTAAGAATCGAAGTTATGGAGAAAGGTGTTTTTTCCTAAGGTCTTAGATTCGATTAACAAGAATAGATTACATTTTCTTCAAAAAAACTCCCATCGTTTTGTACAAAATTTCTCACCATTAAATTGACAGATTCAATGACGTCCAGAAACACTTCGTTCTTCCGATATTTTATTCCCTCCGTCCTCCACGACACGGCATTTGTAACAGCCATTGGTGGACGTGGCTGAATTTCTAACTTCTGACCTTCTTGTGTAATATACCTAATAAGACAACTGCAGATGTAAGCAAATTAGGCTAATTTACGCAGATCACAAAGCATGCACATGCATAATTAAGTATATTCATTCACTGTCAAAACTCGCTATTCTTGTAGAATAACGGGGTCAAGGATTTCAAAAGGTATTGCCAATGACACCTATACGCTAATGATTGGATTGATCTGCAATGATCTGGCTGTTAAAGCATGACAATGCCATATCATTTACATACCACTGGTCTGCGTTCTCGCACTTTGTCGTAGCTTTGCAAAGAGAGAGCGCTTGGAATATTTTTTTGTGCTATGGCATCCTGATCACAAGTGTAACTATCGCAACTGTGATCTCCCGACATAACGATGAAGCGGCTCACAACAAAAGGCATCGTATCCTCGTGTTTCCCAGGCTTTGTCAAGACCACCAATCTTTGACAGAATGCTCAAACCCACTGCTCGTATCTGCAACCACTACTCTTTCGGTCAATATCCTTGACTCATGATCTTAGGTAAGCACATACGCTAGAGAGGCTTTACTCTTCAGCTTTTCATGACGGCAGAGTGCTTTAGTTTCCGCATATCAGGGCCAGCCTGACCGATCCTTCTCTCTATCCCCATGTGAATCCTACCTGAAAAACTTCAATATCTCGAGATATTTCTCTATCTGCTTCAGTTTCACTCTGACTCCTGCAGAGAACAGTCGATGGCCTTTCTCTAAGATTCACAAGTCTTAGTTTTGGTAAGATTCATTTCAATG